TTGTAGTTTGGTGATTGCTCTATTTACTATTACTCCATTACTAAGTGGATACTGTAGTGAAATTATATTGTTTGTATCCCAAAAGTCAATATATTTCATGATTCAAAACTACCTACTTAACCTACATACTTATTGATAATTTCGAGCAGCAAATAAAAAGTTTATTTATAAACATGTATACGACGTTGATAAATTGGAATTCAATCCTACCTCCGTATAGATGATTGTTTCGCCATGTTTGACCCACACTTACTTTTTTTTCAATGTAAAACGTGGGTATTTCATGATTCAAAAAACATATTTTTCACGAACAACTGAAAAATATGTTTATAAGAATTTTTGAACAATGGGGCAATAACCCTACTAAATGGAGTCCTGTGAGATCAACAAAAATAGAGTTCAGAGGTCTGGCTACTAAAGAACAGAACCGCAAAAATGTTGGAAGTAACTGAATTGGAAAGCAGCAGACATGTGAAAAATGGAAAAGATAACAAACCAGAGAATTAGAGAAATTATAAACGCAACACAATTTTTTTAGTTAGAAAAAAGTTAACCAGTGGTAATCAAACGCATGGTCAAACACGAATATGTATACGGTGGGATTCCAAAATATCCACATTACTTATGATTTTTTTTTTAATTTGTGACCTCGAAAAAAAGTAAGTGGTTGTCAAGCATGTACATAGCTATAGGAAGGTGGAATGTTTGTCAAACGAATATAATTACTGGTCGATTACGAATATGTAATTTTCGTCCGTTTTCTACAATTTTGCGGTGCCATAGACCTGAAATGTTGAACGCATAAATCCTCTTAATACCTATACTTACTTAATATGAAATTGGTATTCTGGCATCTTCCTGAAGTTTATGTTGAATCGGGAGCCGGAGGACATCTTTACCTGACAGTATTAGAGGTACTAATGATATCTAATGCTGCCCGGTAAGATGTTAACAGTACTCCCATCAAAAATCCTGAGTATTTTTCTTAACATCTGATTCTATCACCAGGTTGGTTTACTTGGTGTCCTCGATGTAAACCTGCGTGAAAACATTTTATAACATTTAAATAATTATCATTATCTTTAGACTAGAAAAATAAAACTCTCTAGGTAAGATGTATCGTTTATCTTATCAAAAAATCTGTCTTCTTGTAGTAAGCAGGTACTCATTTTAAAACTCATGTAGTATATAATATTGTTTAAATAGGTGTTATAGATTGGTTATTATATAAACAGGAAGTAACACAATAATAATTACTTTTATGTAAAAAGCCACCAAATACTTTAGTTGAGTTGAATTTTATAGTGTGTTTACTACAATGCTCGGCGATAAATTGCAATTTATTGCAGAGCAGTCGTAAAATTGCAGAAATATGATATGGTTCAAGTTAAGTAAGTAAGTTGAAATTTATTAGTTTGTTACAATAGATGGTTCCACTACACGTTTATTGGAAACATTGTCAAAAAGTGGTAGTGGGTTGAGAATGAACAGCAGCCCAAATTATTTTTATTGTCGTAGAGGGTTTGTTCACCCAGGCAGCAAAATGACCAGCAAATACACATCTGCTTGTGTTAATTCGGATGGCCAAATGACTTATTGACTTCCCCGAAACTAATTTGGTACTTAACCTCTTGAAAAGATTTTCAAAACGAATGCTCATTAAATACAGGTTAATTTGAATAGGCCATTTAGTAAATGTTTAAGTGGATTTTGGTTTAGAAGTCAAAGAATTTAGCATGTAATTAGGAATTTACTATTTCCGCGAATCGATGTAAGCATTAGGTGGTCATTGAGGAGTAAGGACAGGCCATTTTATTATAAAATTGGCTTCCTAAATAACAGGCATTACGTTGGAGATTAAATTTTATAGGCTTATAATGATTTGATGTTTGCATCTATGTATGGCGGAAAACTTCAAGTTTACTTGGGTATATTTTGCTTTGTTGATGGTTTGATTAGGCCAGAACCAGTTCTAGAACCATTTAAAACAGTTTGGTAGCCTGCGAAGAATTTGAGAACTGGTTCTGGAGTGAAACCAAATCAGTCCATAGATCTAAGGATATTGATTTTATTTTTCAAGTTATGCGAATTATATTATCTAGAATATTGATGAAAGTACAATATGGAAAGGATGGCGAATCTGAAATGTTATGTTTGATAATATGTAATTGAAACTTTAGCTCAATGTTGGCCTTAGTTTTATTATCAATTTCAGGTCCTTAGTAATTTGTTTCCGTAGATTGATTCTTTTTTTTTGAAATGATAAATTTATCTTTTTTTGACCAATAAGAAAAAACGTAGTTCCACACATTATCCAACAAACTCTATACCTATTATTTACTGATGGTAATATACCTGTTTGCATAATAATAAATTACTGCATTGTTTTTAGGTGAGTTGGCAACGATAATAGTTGAATTGTTTAACTGAGCTTTTAAGCCCCATTCCAGGGCAACTGTGACGGATACAAAAGTTTTATGCCATAAATTAAGCAAACCTAAGTTGAGTTGAAGCAACCAGTTATGGTTTATCAAAATTACATTAAATTCATTAATCATCCGACTGATTAATTACCGCAAGTTAAATTTAAATAAAACCACTAGTTTTTTAAAAATAAATTTCCGAACTTTGGCCTTAGTCAACATAAATTGACGAGTGAAAATGAATAACGCTATGAGAACATTACAAGTATTTTAGTGTATTGTTTATTTTTGCAACATGTCATTATCTTACTTAATGTCAAGACGTGCCATTAAAATAAACTATAGCTTACAAGCCTGCAATTATTATAAGTTGTGTTTTAGTTATTTTTTGTTATTTTTTTACAGATACAATAATTCTCATTAATAGTTGAATTAAACCTTAAATTAGAACTCAAGGATACGAAATCTGATTTAAAAAAAACGTAGGTAAGTATATGGTAGTCTAATTATAGAACTGCCCCAGCACCAGCGGCAAGACACAGTTATTATACCTGGGTATATACAAACATTGATTTTAATTATTTACTTAGTTGTGTGGAAACTAGTGGTTTGCTTAGGGATTGTTTATTTAAACAATTTTAACCGCTAGATATGATTATATTGATTATGAGATTTCGGAAGAATAAGTTTCTGATTTATTTTGAGGCTTTTATTATAAAACTGTTTTACTTGATGTATTTGTAAATTTCAATGATCTATGGACCAGCTTTAGTAAAATTCTCCGGGCTGCCAATTCAGGATTTCTCGTAGCCTTGATTTTTCTTGGGTTTCAAAAAAAAATGATGTTAGCCAGTTTGCCTTGCAAAATTCTCCAATTTGAATTTTTATCGCTAATTTATACATAAAATCTATTAATATGAATTTTTTTGTATTCTCACCTGAAGTTCTAGTAAATTTTAATTTATTTAATGTGATTTTAGGATCCATACCGGAAATTTAAACTCTTGATGGTAGGTCAGAGCATTGGGAACCCAAAAATGCTGATACGATACAAGAGAGAACCTGTCGAGAAGATGGCAATAAAATTACCATATAAATTTTAACCGGTTTTTAATTTATAAAATTTATCGGTTATTGCCAAGTCTCATGTCCAGTGGACTCATCCATGTTACAGCTATATAATAACTTTTTTCCTTACTTGATATAACGCAGAGATTAAATGTATATATTTAGATTAAATAATTGACTAGAATTTTAATTGGACGTGTAATCATGCGTAAGGTGTAATTTTGTAAATATGAAAGTTTGGTTATCAGTAAAAATTTAAGTACCTACCTATTTAAAGTATGATAAAATATTATATCAAGTGTTGTCTGGGATCCGGTTTTACAGTAGAAAATCTTTGAGTAAATATCTGGAAAGTTTTGAGAAACAATCTTTGACTTTGGTTTAGTTGGCATAGTAAATGAAAAGTAAATGAAGCATTTGGACATTTAAAAAAAAATACCATACCATTATCTTTGTCTTAAACAAAAAAAGTTATTTCAGTTTCATTAGAAATATTTTTAACGGGATTTATCAAGCAGAAGTTAACTTAAGACCAGTAGTAGTAGTAGTAGGACGAACCCATATGGTGTCACAATTGTCTTGTATTACAAGTTTATGTTTTAACTCTATAAGGACTTTGCTTTAAATCTGTTTATTGCAAATGGCGATGCGTCACTCCTTCATTAGCATGAGTGGGTAGAAGAGGTGACACCGTCTGTTTATAAACAACTTTTATCCTGGTATGCACGGTGTCATTGGTACCAGTCTGACTCGATTTGATTATCCTTGAAGGAGGTATTTGAAATATTGAGTTTTAGCAATGCAGCTTCAAGAATAGAAACGTTTGAATATATATATTTTTAATTTGTTTTAAGTACTTTCCCCAACTCCTCACTGCTAAAAATACCTACTTTTAAGTGGCAGTACCACAGTGCAGGCCTAAGAAATGTAAGATTATTATCTAATCTTAATGAAATGTTAATGTAAATATCGAGGTAAATATGACGATAAAGCCATAAGAAAGTGACTGGCAGATTAGAGAACTGTTTGTTGCTTTGTCATTCATTTACTTTTTCTTTACTTTTCATGCACAGAAAGAATCAAAAGTACCTGAAAATTTGTTTTTTCTTAATAAACGGAATTTTGTCAAAAACCGAAGCACAAAAAGACTTTCTGGTCCGAATGGCATGCAACAACATTTTCGGAAAAATAAAAGGATGCCGCAATAATTTATGTCATGTTTGTTTACTTTGAATCAGTAAATCGCTTTAATCAAACTTTGAACTCGGCACAAAAATAATCAGTTCTTTGCTTTATAACATAGGTTATGGTCCTAGGACCATAATCGATCACTTCTTTGTCAAATTTTGACAACAAAAAAGTTTAAATCATACACCGCTATGAAGTACCTAGGTAATTCAAAATTGTATATAATCACATAATAAGGTATTGTTTCTTACGATTCAAATCAATTTTGTAACAATGCAAACTTTTTAAGATAAGACCCAAAATATTGCGTAATTTTTAATTAACCTTTATCGGTAAAACAATAAAAAGTTTCGAGCCGATAAACTCGAGTTTTCTTTAATAATTAAATGTTTATTTTGCTTTACAAAAGATAAAATATTGAATAGGTACAATTATTTATACACAGTTAATAATAATTGAATCTGAATTGCCTACTACATATTATCTCGTATCTTTTTGGTTCATCGGCAGCCCAAAAAAATAATTAAAATTTATTTTTCGACACACCTGGTATGTAGAAAGTAGCCTGCTTATGTACATATTATTTAAATTTATCACACCTGCTTTTAACTGGCGCACTAAAAAAATCGAGGACATCGTTCAGACATACATGGTTCTCAAAATAATTATTTTTAAGTTTCTTCAACAGTGATACATTACCTGGATGCAGCTTTGTGTCAAATTCAAATGTCTTGAAAAATAAGATGAATAAAGCGTGAAACATCATAATTTGGAAACAACTCCCTGAAAACGTTGATTATTAATGTACCTCCTAGACTGCCAACAAAAAAAAGCATGACACTCAAGTCTACACTTAAATTTATGTTATTTAACAATAAATTAGAATGTCGCAGTACATTGAAAACATGCTGATACAAAGCGGACCACGAACTTTGAGTTCAGCTGCTCCCACATAAAAATGCAATTATTACTTTTAAGTGTCAAAACCTATACCTTGTTATTTTATTTCTTTAATTAAAATACAAAATATGCAATTGAGGATGAAAACTACTTACTCATACAATGAACTCTGTACACCACTATAAACACAAACAAATTAGTAATAATTCAATTTATAACACTTGGTCACGATTAACAGGATTTTGTGGGTTTAATATTAGCATAATAACAAATGTGAAGTTATTTATTTGAGGGGCGTATAGTTTGTCTGAATGATTTGCTCTATTGAATTACCTAAAATGTAGGAGAAAAGAATGTCAAAATTCTAATTACTGGTGTTTTTACATGTGTCGCGGAGGTGAAATCAAAATAATGGATGGTAACAAATCAATTAAAATATAACGTTCATCATTTATGTCCAAGTTCAACTGTTTGTTAACTCGGTTATTTATTGGTGAAGAAATTAACCAATTATTCATTCAACCACAGATAATTTCACCTGAACTTCTTCAAAATTCTTTCAAGTCTGACATCGAGGAATCGCGTTCAGCTTGGTTGCATGTTGATGGACATGGCGCGTGACTCTCAAATTACTATATGGACTAAATGAGTATACCTGAATCATCGTGACCAATCGATTTTTTTATGTGTATTATGATAAACTGTAACGGATGCATTATGCACTTTTATTAATTTAGTCTACAGGGTCTTAGAGGTGTATTAGAAAAACTAAGAAGGTATTAATAGCTTGTCATATTAACTTGCTATTGATGAGAATTGAGATATATAATATGCAACATATTGAAAACTGTTCACCGGGATTATCATGATTATGAGCTTGACAATAAGTGATCAATTAATGCAAATGCCAGAAATGTAATGAAGTGCCTTTTTTCAACAACATTCAAATAATAGTTTGACGTCAATATTGAAATAACCCTGTTTTAAGCGTTTTTACTCCCAAACTGGTTCACTTTATGAAGACTTTGTTGCGTGTCTTTGAAAAACAATGAAAATCTAGAACTTCCGATCAAAAGAAAAATACATAGGTTCCTAAATTAGCTAAGCTAAGTGAATAGTGCAATAGTGAATAACGCATTAATTTATGACCAGCTAGCACATGACGTATGTACAAATATTTGCTTTAAAATAATAAACTTTTGCTTACCGTGTTTGCATTTTTACATAAACCAAAATTTAAACTTTTATTGGCATCTGAGTTATTGGCACATGCATTACGTACAATACCTACCAAAATGGAATTGAGTAATAACTTTGAAATTTTATGATTGTGTAGGTATGATTTATTCTGATGATAGTTAATTTTTAATACAAATAAAGCTTATGCACAAGTACTATCCAACTACTAATTTTAGTTTCAGGCAAAAAGTAATGGGTATTTTGTAGCAGTCCAGTTATTTTTTTTCAAACTAATGCAAAAATAAGGCACTGAATGTTAGTGAGGTGAGTGAATACCCAAATTAACATGCAGCTCCAATTCCCATTTCCTTAACTGCTTAATTTGAAAAAAACTTCCATTTAAATTACATGAATATTATTAGTATCTAGCAATTAAGGAATTGGGTAACCCGTCCCAGAAAAATAATGAACGATTGAAAAAATTGTACCTGTGATTTTGGACCAAAAGTACCTACCAAACTATAAACTGGCATAGAAGTTGCAACTTCAGTGCCTTGTTTAATGAAATTCAAATTTCAGTGGCCAAATTTGAATTTTTGTGGATACTTTTTGGTTGGGCCAATACATAACGAATCCAACTTTCCAAAAAAAAAATAGGTACATTTTTGGTGTTGGTGAAATATTGAATCAATAAACATTTCGTGTAAAATATTTTTTGGAATGTTCCAAGCAGTAATTTTTGCACTCAGCCAACCTTATCTTCGCATTCAGTGCCATATTTCTGAACTTATTTTCGAATTTAGCTATAATGAACGCGTAGTTTGTAAACGCGCAAAATAGTTCAAATATCAAGTTAGAATTGATTGATTTAATGAAGCAGTTTTAGTTCTTAACAAGAATAACAAGTTAATTACCTACATATAAAATAAGTTATACCTAAGTAGGCAGGCTTTGAAAATTTTTCAAAATTATAAAAAAAAAAAAAATTTAAATAAATAGTTTTCCATATGAGAAAAGTTCTTACCGATGCTAGGTCATCAACGATCGAAGTGAAGTTAGCCAATTGAAATTAGTGCACCATAAACAGAATAAAATAATCCGATTATGAGGTTAGAGCACACTTATGCCGGTATGCACTGAATGAAGGTTTAAGAGAGTCACTCCGGAGTAGAACCGGCACAGCCCGACGAAGCTGGATCTATTCGACGACTGAATTCAAATTTCCTGACACGCAGCGTTGGAATTGGTAAAGAATATTTAGCGCCGGCGCATCGGCTTTCGAAACCGGTAGAAAAAGTGGGGAAATGGCGGGCAATGTCCACCCAAAGGCAATTTTTAAATAAAATCACTTTTGTTATGGCGTTGACCTTTGGGGACCCCAAGATTAGATTAATTATAATGTTTTTGGTATGGAGGGTAATTTAAAAGTCAAATTATGTAGATTGGGGTTTAAGGATTTTTTGGACCTTTAATTTTTGGACTCGGAATTTAGATGCCTATCTAGGGTTCATAAAGGAAAGTTCCTTAGCCTTTATCATGAAATAGGTATAATTTGAAATATGTCTAAGGAAAGCGAACCTAGAACAATTACCAGACAGTTAAGAACACATTTTATAATAACAGATAGTTAGGTTAGAGTTAAGTATTTCTGGCTCAAGTAGTTAGGTACCTGGTACCTAGATATAAGTGTGTTATGTTGAAAACTTGGAAATAATTTTTAAAGCAAATACCTATAACACAAACGAATAGCACACATGGTTTTATCCAACAACTACAATTATTTTAATGTTAGTCTTTAGTCTGGTTCTTATGATTTCAGACCATTGTTTTTTAGGCCTAAATTCCGGAAAATGACACTAAAGTTAAATGATGGCCGGGAAAGCATCTCACAATCCAACTACATTGATTTTATTTTAGGAATCCTTTGACTTGTGTCATAAAGCTGTCATTGGCAATGACTTCTGACTAGGTAAGCCATATGATGATATATGATTGCCGTAAAACGTAAAATTTTGTCTGACACATTCTGTTCTCTAGAAGGCCCGAGGAAACTATTTTTTTGGCGAAAATCGTTGGGAAAAATCATATACCCGCAAATTGCTTTCTTGAATTTGAGTTTAAACTGCCTGAACCGGTGTGTGAGGGAAAACACAAAAATCCAATGGATTCGGGCATGTGGAACGACATTAATTTAATCGCAAATTAAAGGGAACACCGTACCTATTAACAATTAAAAACGTATTCTATCAATAGAAATTCCAAGACTATGGACCCATTCAGAAAGTCATTAAGAAACGCGCACAATGCAATATATACCTAAGGCTTAATTTGTTTTTAAGATAGGAAATTTATAAAAGAAAAATGCCCTAACGAGAAAAAAATACAATGATATAGACCACAAAAATGAAAACAATGCCCAAGAAGTAATTCAAATCAGAGAATAAAAATAAGGAACTAGTCCCTACAGATATATCTATCTACCTATGAGAAACCCCAGAAGCAATCAAAACGCATGAAGCTGCCAAACGTCTTCAAGATGTTGAAGATGCCACAAAAACTAAAAGAAACACATACGACAGACTGAACTAACAAAAGATGAGACAATAAAAGTAAAATGTCATTTCAAGGATCAGCAACAAAAATTTCAAAATAACGCTAAGCAACGTTAAAAAGAAGAAATCTAAATAGAATATACTTCTAGAAGAATTAGAAATGCTTAATTAGGAAAAATGTAGTTGAAAAATCAGTTATATAGTCTAATATAAAATTAATAAAGTAACAGAAGACAATGTAGAAAGCCTAGTAAAGGAAATTGGATACTAAGGATAATGAACGTTTTATTTTTAAATGGAGCATAGTACGAATAAGATGGCGAAAAAAGGTGATCACAAGGCAGAAATGGAAAAGCTGTTAACGATTATAATCAGCATCATCCATCAAAATGTTCAATTCACCAGAAGCTCCATTGATCAAATTAATGAGAGTCGTGTAAGTATAGTTTCATCGGGTGATGAATCTATACACTGTAGTGAAACATGTTACTGTTGTAATAGAATATAATACAAATATGGTAAAAATGAGTTTAATTTTTCTCCAACCATGGATTTAAATTTTTACCAAGTATCGGCTTTCTAACATCACCGATAGGTATGTTAAATGATTCAATTGATATACCCTATGGCGTTGGATCCGTATTTTTTAGGCCAGTAACACCAATGGTAATTTGTAATATTGCTGAAAAAATTGAACTAAAATAGTTGGCACCTTCGCATTTAAACCCCTGTAGCAAGAGGATAGCGAGAGCTGGATATGGGGTTCTGCTACCGCCTCATCGGTATGACCACGTACAATCTCGGTACAACCTTACCACCCTTTTAAATGTGACAAGGAAATATTCCAATGAAAACAGTGACTTCTTACCTAGATGCAATAAAATCATACAAAATTTCTATTAAATCACCTTTGGACGCTTCTGAAAAATACTTCAAGAAATCAGAGGGACTTCAGACTTTCAGGAATTATTGAGTAGGGTCTTTTCATCGAACGAAACAAACTATGAGTGGATTTCAGGCTCAGAGATGGAATTATGAATTTTTTTCCACTTAGATGCAAAAAAATCATGTAAAATTTCTATTAAATCACCTTTGGAAGCGTATGAAAAATGCTTCAAGCAATCAGAGGGACTTCAAACTCACAGGATTTATTGAGTAGGGTCTTCTTATCAAACAGAACAAACACCGAATGTATCTCAGGCTCAGAAATGGAATTATGATTTTTTTCTCACTTAGATGCAAAAAAATCATGTAAAATTTCTATTAAATCACCTTTGGAAGTTTTTGAAAAATACTTCAAGCAATCAGAGGAACTTCAAGTTCAAACTTTCATAATTTATTGAGTAGGTTCTTTTTATCGAACAAAACAAACCGCGAGTAAATCTCAGGCTCAGAAATGGAATTTAAAAAAAAAATCTCACTTAAATGCAATAAACACCTTGTAAAATTCCTATTAAATTACCTTTAGGAGCTTCTGGAAAATCCTTTGAGCAATCAGAGCGACTTTAAGCTTCCAGGATTTATTGAGTAGGGTTTTCTTATCAAACAGAACAAACCGCGAATGTATCTCAGGCTCAAGAATGTATCTCAGGACAAGATGTGCACAGAATTGACCCATAAATTTCTATTAAATCATATTTGGATAATACTTCGAGCAATCAGAGAGACTTCAAACTCTCAGGATCTATTGAGTAGGGTCTTTTTATCAAACGGAACAAATCGCGAATGTATCTCAGGCTCAGAAATGAAATTATGAGTTTTTTCTCACTTAGATGCAAAAAAATCATGTAAAATTTTTATTAAATCACCTCTGAAAGCTTCTGGAAAATTCTTCAAGCAATCAGAGGGACCTTAAACCTTCAGGATTTATTGAGTAGGGTCTTTTTATCAAAGAAAACAAACTGCGAGTGGATCTCAAGCTCAGAGATGGAATGATGAAATTTTTCTCACTTAGATGCAAAAAAATCGATAATCAATTTGGGTTTATTACTCTTATTAAAACCGTGACAACAAAGTGCAATTTTTACGATGCAATTTCAATATATTGAAATATATAAACTTTTGTGAAGTAGAAACGTCAAACTATACAGGGTGTTTCATTGAAAATAAGGCAGTATTTTTATTTAAAAAAAATCGCATGTCTGTAAAACCAAATTTTAGAATTCGGCAATACTGTAAAAAAGAAACCGCATCTCGTTGTCTTTTCTTGTTTTATAGATATTTACCTGCAAAATTTGTCACTTAATCTAAGGGCACCCTGTATATTGAAGAGCGAAATACAGGATATTTCACACAATTCATTTAACTATTCACTGGATTGACTCCATAAATGTGTAGAGTGCAGAATAGAACGGCCGACATACGACATAGACAGCAATTTTATGAGCTGATATTATTTTTTCCAGCAGTTTTTGATCGCTTTGTAAATATTCTAATAAAAACTGGGTTTGCAAAAATACCAACATTTCTATTTTGATTGTTTACTGCCAAACTTGAAGTATGAAGGCCGGTGTTTAATGGTACCTACATGTATACCTTGGGACACGACTCTTTTTTTAACGTTGTGATGTATATGCTGTTCAGGAATTATTGGCATCAACTTATCCTTGAAAATATCTTCAACCGCGCTGACCAATCAAATTCAAGACAGTTATAATAATAATCATATACAAATATATCTTGAAATTTGAATTCCTTATACGAGCAAAACTTTATGACATTTCGTTCAGCATTGCTAGAATTATTGAATTGATAATTCGTGAAAATCAACCAAAATGCCGAAAACAATTTCCGATGAAAGACAAAGGACCCTGTAATATTTAAATGGAAATTGGTTACCCTTGATATTTGATTTGGATGAAATTTAATAATGTAATTGGGGATGCTGTAAGCAACATTTTTCACCATGGACACAATCTTGTTTATGTGACAGGTGAGGCAGTGTTAGCTGTCAAATATTGGAATCTTATATCCAAAAGCCTCTCCAAAAGCAGATTTTGATGAGCGAAATAGCGATTTCTACGAAGTCAAAGTGATTTCACCAAAATGAGCCTATGTGCGCATGTGCATTATGGGGTGCTTTTGCCACCTTAAGTTAACCCGTAGATACTGAACGCATACAAGAAAAACCCCCAACAGAGAAAAAAGACCATAAATATTGCATAGACATTTGCATTTAACACCGTTTATACAAAAAGTATATCTGTACGTGTGAGATGAATAAAAACATTGTATGTAATTATAAATGATGAAGTAATGCAATTGGCCTCCAAAACTGGGAATAATAGATCGGGTGCAAAGAGCAAAGGAACCGATAGAGACTAAACACTAGGTTTTTAAATCGCTTATCGTTCAACGTTTCCAATACATAAATAAATTTTTGTTTGATTACATACATATGTATTGAATAAATTTAATACATAGGTATCTTTGTTTTTTGATAAATATAATAGAGTAAGTTGAGGTAAGTAGGTACTCAGAAATTTCTAACAACATTGCAACTTTGCTTTTCGAATTGACAAAATGTATAACCTGTAAATTAAAAATACATTTTTATAGTTTACGTGATTAATATACAAGGGGCGCTTTGCCAAATTTCCAATGATAAGCTGATGCCAATAATTCCTGAACAGCATGTATTACAGAG